TGCGAGCAGCGGGCCGTAGGCGCGCGAATCGTCAGTGCTCAAAAGTAATGAATTCTGACCTATGTCCAGAACATAGGCCTGTAGCTATCATAGAGTGGGAGCTGACAACACCCTCCCTAGAGAGAGATTGTTTGGCAGCCTGTGGTCTGCAATGCTGCAGCCTGACTGTGCGTGGCGTCAATTGCGCGTTTAACAAATCGTATGATCCGCGCGAGAATGGTTTGCCACAAATACTTGCCATTGCGCGACCTTGAAATCTGGGAAGCGGAGCATCACCGTCGACGAGGCCTACTCACCCCAAAAGAGTTTCTATTCTACATGCATGGTTGGTGCTGTTTATGTGTGCACATTCCAGGGTGAGAAAGTTCACAATTGCAGAAAAGCGTTTCGCCAAACGGCTTCCTGACAAGCAGATCAAACTCCGTGAATAGAAAAAAACAACAAGTGGAAACCCCAAAAACTCAATGTTATTAGACTTTCTGTCTGGCCGTCCCAAGTTACAGCTTTACATCAATTCTACCAGCAAGATCCGGGTTGTGCTGGTTGTAGCCGCTGCATGACGGGCGCAGAAGTTCTGGCCTGCAGCCCTGACAGCACCTCCATGCCATGCACTGAGTCGTTGCGCTTGGAGGATGGCAGCAAGCATCTTTGATATGGCCAAGACTAACTGTTTTAAGACGTGTTCATTGGATCTTAAGCCGATTCCAAAAAAGTAGTCATTGCTGAGCATGTGAACTTCTACCGAGAAGTCTAGGACACTGGCAGATAGCATTGGGGACGCTTACCATACAAGCCAGATTCAGGATTTTTAAACTTTGACTAGCGAGAAACGGTGTTCCTGATCAGCACGGCAAAGGTTTTCTGGTGCCTTTTTACGGCCAACCCAGTGTTTGGACATTGTGATGTTGCGGTCAGCTTCACTGACAACTAGGTTTTGTCAGGGAGCCTGGTTTTGGGAGACTTCAAAATCATCAGGCACCGGTATTCAGAGCAATCCAGAGAAGTGCAGTCCGATGGACCAAGCAACATACCACTGTGTTTTTTGAGCCTTCGCGCATCTTTGAATTGGATCTGTGAAGTTCCAAACAATCGCCTGGTCGTACACCGTACAACATAAACCACAGATCGATTCGCAGCTCTTCTGGGGTGCAAGGGGATCATGGTTCGGCAGGATTGTCTCATCCGGCTGAGCCGGAGGTGTGCACCGTTAGGCAAGTCTTCCCGACATCTGCATTAAGTCTTATATTAGTGCTTTCGCGAACCGTTTCGGGGGGTTTAGAAAGCTAAGCTCTTCATAGCCTTCCTTACGCGAGCTTGGATACATGGTGCCGCTTAGGGCCAACCCAGCGTTCGAATAATTATCGTTAATCGGCGGCCAATTTCACCGACAAGTAGGTCATGAATGACTTGCTTGGCTTTGTCATGGGGTGTGGTTTTGGGAAGAATCCAGCAAACCAGAGAGAAGAGTGCAGGATGGACCAAGCAGCATACCAATGTGCTTCTGCAGCCTCCGGGTATGCCATGCCGCCGTAGACCCTAAGTCCACATGTTAACTTCGTCATACGTATTGAAACTTGGGATTCAAGACAATCCGTACTTCTCTCCTGAAGACTAGTTGTCGTAGGTGCATTTCATTCCGTGGCCGTTTTTAATTGTTCAAGTGGCGCAGGTCCTACTCGTCCTCGGGTCGAGCTTGAGAGCTGTTGCGTTGTCATCTATCCTCGCACGCCGACGCGGCAGCTGGGTTCCTTCGCTTCGCAGCTGAGGAAAAGGTCCTCGCTCCGGGTGCGTCATGGCCAAATCGCGGACGGAGCGTGCTTCGGCCTCGGCCTGGTCTCGGAGATGCCTCGCTTGCTGGGCAGCTCCTTTGATTTTCTTATTTTTGGTCCCCTATAACATGCCCTTAACCGGGACGGAGCTCGGGATGCTGGAGACTTTGGGCCCACCTCTGATGGGCTTGACAGCCACATCTCTCTTAGGCATCACCCTTCCGTTGTGCGGCTGCGCGTCCAGGTGGGTGGTTGTGGTGCAGGTGGTCTTGCAGATGGCCATCATCGGGTGTTTTTTGGCGCCTGAAGGCCATTCCGAGGTCCGAAAGAGCTTTGAGACCGGAAGCCTGGAGAGAAGGGCAGAGCTGAAAGAGGACGGCGTCGCCCAAGGTTCCAAGGCCAAGGCGGTTTCAGCCCGCTTCCTGGAGCCACGGGTAGAAGCGAAGAGACAGGGCACCATGTCGGTGGTGCTGCCCTGTCTGAATGAACCTTATGCCTTCAAGACGGTGATGAGTTTCTGTAACAGGACGCCTGCCGAGGTCCTCGAGGAGATCATTGTGGTAGACGATGCTTCAGTCCCACACCTGATCACAAAATTGGAGGGTGTTCCTCCACATTGCAAGCTGAAGGTCTTGAGGCACAATGAGTCCTTGGGTTTGATGATTGCAAAGCAGACCGGTGGAGACGCCGCAGCTGGAACCTACATCGGTTTCTATGATTGCCATGTCGCGCCTGCGAAGAATTGGTACAAAGAGACCATAGAACTGCTGGCAGCAAAGGAGCGTCGGTTGGTTGTGCCCATGATTGCTGATCTTGATCTGGACAGCTGGGATGAGAAGGTGCACGGAGCCCTGACAGCGAAATGTTACATCAACTTCAATGCCGATTTCTGGTGGTATGAAGACCAGTCAGACTTTATCCCTGTTATCAGTGGAGGACTGGTGGCCACCACGCAGAAATGGTGGAAAGACTCCGGTGGCTTTGATCCTGGCATGCGTGGGTGGGGCGGGGAGAACACGGATCAATCACTGCGTGCATGGCTGTGTGGTGGTGACATTCTGCGTGCCCGATCAAGTCACGTGGCGCACATGTGGCGGGTTGACTCCGATCCCCGCACCCTTTCTCACTACAAGTTGAAACATCGCACCGATAATTTGGCGAGAGTTGCTGCAATTTGGTTTGGTGAGTTCAAAGACAAGTTTCGAGAAGGAAAGTTGGACTCAAAGATTGACGTGTCGGTGGCAGTTCGCAAGCTGCAGGATCTGCAATGCAAGCCATTTGCATACTTTCTGCATCGCTTCCGTAAGCTGTACGTCACTGGCGGTGTGCTGCCGGAATACGTGTTCCGCTTGCGCTTGAAAGGTACCGAGAGATGCATCTCCAAAGCAGGTGGAAATTTTAGGTTGGAGAACTGTGCTACGGCATCCTGGCTCCACTTCGCAAACATGGCTCCTCCTGGCTTTCCGATTCCATCTGATTTCCAACAGACAGACACTGACTCTGCGTCAACTTCTGAAGTGGTGTGTGGCGGCCACACAGCTCCCAGTTGCGCAGAGTGTCCCCGGCAACATGGGGAGGACTGGTGTCACGTCGACTGTAAGTGGCTCTTTGGCCACTGCGTCCCCGCAAACTCTCGACCGCCATCCCCTTATGCAAATCTGTCGCGGAGCTCAAGGAAATTCTCTGGAATCCGGCTGTGGAACTCGATCGAGTGCTTTGATCGGCTGGATCCGACAGGTCCCATCGTCTATTTCTGCGATATAACGGGGCAAAACCAGAACCAGCAATATCTGCTCGATGCAAAGGGGCTCATCCGACACGCCTCTGGCCGCTGTGTTTCTGTGAACGCCAAGCCCACACAGCTCGCGGCCGTCCCCTGCAAGGGTGCGCGCGAGTGGGAGGTCATCGAACAGTTCGTCCCATCCGAAACAGAGAGGTACGAAACCGCCGTAGCCCGGTACCAGCTGGGGGAAGATTTGCCAGATAGTTGATCAAAAGACCAGCCCGTGCTTGCTTGGCTAGAGGGCTAGTAGTGGTAAATCCAGTCGGCGAACATCATCTCTTTGTGGGAATGGCTTCAATCCGATTAGTTTAGGATGCGGGTTCTGGCCTCAACTGACCGTAGCTTGAGGGCTCAACAGCTGCTTGAAGAAACTGTACGGCAGCTTGTCAGGCATGCGTCCCATATGAAAAGTCACTTGGCGCAGCTTCACATTCTTAGAGCAAAGTCCAAGAAAGATCTTGCCAACGGCCATTTCGTGATGCCGGCGAAGCGCAAACAGGCGAGGAGAACGACGAAACGCGACCCTCTGCAGCACTTGGATGCCTGAACACACTAAGCACACCCTTCTTGCGCGGACTTTTACACTTTGTTCTGTGCAGGTGGCGGGCTTCCCTGTGGTGCCACCGAGTGCCGAGGGCTTGGCCGAAGAGCCCCTCGCAAAGCTCAAGGATGCACTGGGGGCAGAGGCTGCAAATCCTGAGACCCGCAAAAGAGCAAGCAAGAGACGACCCCGAACCTCCTCAAAGCGTCAACGACTGTCGACTGAGTTCCTTGGGAGCATGACCCGTCTCGTCAGGTGGGTGCTGGGGCGCTTGCAGGCGCGGCTCATCTCATGCTGTGCCTGGACTGAGCTACACAAGAGTCTTTAACCGGCACCGCTGAAGCGAACTCAAGAGGATTGCCTCAGACTCAGAGGCCCTCCGAGCCCTGGATCATCTTCTCCTAAGACGCCCATGTCAAACAGTTTCTTGCGTTTTTACAGGTTGGAAGTCGTAGTTCAGGCACTCAAAGACAACCAGCCCCACGGGACTCGACACTTTGTCATTCAGTAAGTTCCTTGCCTCGATACTCGCAGAGCCCCTTCGCCCTCCCTCTTCTTTCTTTCTTTCTCTATCTGTCTCTCTCTTTCTCTGTTATCACTCCTTGCCTACCGGTTAGGATCCAAAGTGGATGGTGTCCAGCTCATGGTAGGCCCCATTGCTAAGGCGAAGGGGCCGGTGCGTGCTGGCACACTCTGACGGCTTTGCGAACGTGCGCACGAAGCAGCCCTTTGGCCTCCGCACGCTCTGCCGCCTGCATGGCTGCACAAAGCCGCTGGTAGCTGCAGCCTTCCTTACTCTCGTCGACAAGGGCAAGGTAAAGCTGGCAGATCCGATCGGCAAGTACATCAACTTCTCGGGGGAGGTCAGCGGGAAGGGGCCTGGAAAGAGACTGAGATTGAAGGCTCGCAAGGTTAAAGTTCAACCAACTCTCCGGCATCTGCTCACGATGACGGCTGGACTTCAGTATCAGGACCGACAGAAAGCACAAAATTCTTCACAGCTAGGAATCCGCCGGGCTGAGCACTGGAGGTCTCAGTCTTGAGCGGAGGAGTGCATCCCGGTCAGACACTTGTCAAGGGAGGAGGCTTCAGCTGAAGGTGAAGGAAGCGGCACGGTCGTCCCCTGGGACTTCTGATCATGAAAAATACTTTGTGGATGTGCATTGCAAAGAGGTGACCCGCCCTTTTAGGTCTTGATGCTACAACTTGAGCGTGCCAGGACTGTCCAGCTTACGCCAAGACCATGCGTCGCATCAAACAGAGACGGGTGCAGACTCTTGGCTTTCGTTTCGATTCTGTTGTCTGTCGACTTTCTTACATCTTTTTGCACGAGTCGCTTGACCAAAGCGGGGGCCATCGGGCCTGGGTACTCGGCAATGGAGACACCTGTGACCACAGTGCGCACTTTAAGTTGTAGGCTTTTTTCGTTTCTCGTGTGGTGGGTCTGGGTGTTTGCCTCGCCGTGGCTCTTCCGCTTGTCTTCGAGACTGGGCTCCCCTGCCCTGACTCTGAGCGTGTATCAAGGTCTTGAGCAGTTGTGTCAGGGGGCTATGGATTGCCTTCCAAGGGACCTCGCCTCGATGTGCGAAGAGCTTGCAGCCCAGCCATTGCAAAGCGAGCCAGGAGATTGCCCAGATCCCGAATCCATCCTGTCTTAAAACTCGTTCTGATGGAGAATGCTGTGATAGGGCTTCGGATTCGAGTTTGGCTCCAATCATTGTAACAGTTGACGGAAATGTTGGTCTGTCTAGTGGATATCATTCTCTTCGGTCCATATTCTGGCCTTGAAGGATCTCGCTACACCTACAGTTTCTGCACTGACATGATCGGCAGAGTCTGTGAAGCCGTCAGTGGCAAGCGTCTGGCAGCTTGGCTTGGAGTTCCGTGACATCTTTGGTACCATGGGAACCACGTCACGGTGTCAGTGTCACGGGCACATGCCCTGTACGCCGCACAACGCATGAGTTTGGGCTGCATTTTGCAGGACAAGTTTGTGAACGAAGCCCTTCTTTCACCTCTGGGGATGCGAGACACCTTCTTCGAAGTGCCAGACCCTCGCAGAAAATATGACAGACAGAGCATGTACTTGATTATCCGGGACGAAAGGCCGCTACCCACAGTGTCTCCTTGGTGGGCTTAGCGCTTGGAGATGTTTCGGATTGAAGTTCATCATGTTCAACTGAGGCGAAGAAGAGGAAACGAGAAGCAGTCCTGTACGACTGCCAGCGAAGCGGTGGCGGAAAGTACGTGCCGAAGGCCAGCACCCATGCAATCTGCAATGCCAAGAGATGGTGACCATGTCGCCGCATGCTGCACTCAACTAAACTGCCGGTTTTTGGCTTAGACTAAGGTCTGGAGCCAGCCCGGAAAGGCCGTCCCGATCATGAGCGCCGGTGGAGGGATCTTGAGCTACAACGACGCCCGACCTTTTTCAGAAGCTAAGTGAAGCTGACACGGTTTGCCTCGCAAGCTTGCAGGATCCGGGGATGTGGAGCACCGTGGAGGATTACGCCAAGTTCTGCCAGATGCTTCTCACCGGGAAATCCCCCACAGGGGCAGCGATCCTGAGACCTAGCACCATGAAGGCTGGGAAACGCTGCAGACTTGGACTTTGGAATCTCTATAAAAGCTTGTGACTGCTGTCGTGCTCGTGAGGCACTCTGGTCCGACAGCCTTGCGGTTTACGGGCAAAAGGTGGGAGATGCTGCTGAAACGGTTTCAGGGTTTAGGGTTTAGGGTTGAGGGAAACCGTTTAAACGGCCCAATCGTCCTGTGTCTCATGCCTTCAGAAGTGCTGCTCCAACGTCTAAACCGTTTAAATGTTTGAACCGTTTAAACATGTTTAAACGCCCCAAACGTCCTGTTTCTCATGCCTTCAGAAGTGCTGCTCCAACGTCTAAACCGTTTAAACGTTTGAACCGTTTAAACATGTCCTGATTCTCATGCCTTCAGAAGTGCTGCTCCAACGTCTAAACCGTTTAAACGTTTGAACCGTTTAAACATGTTTAAACGCCCCAAACGTCCTGTTTCTCATGCTTTCAGAAGTGCTGCTCCAACGTTTAAACCGTTTAAACGTTTGAACCGTTTAAACATGTTTAAACGCCCCAAACGTCATGTTTCTCATGCCTTCTGCTGCTCCAACGTCTAAACCGTTTAAACGTTTGAACCGTTTAAACATGTTTAAACGCCCCAAACGTCCTGCTTCTTATGCCTTCCGAAGTGCTGCCCCAACGTTTAGACCGTTTAAACGTTTGAACCGTTTAAACATGTTTAAACGACCCACACGTCCTGCTTCTTATGCCTTGCGAAGTGAACGTTTAAACATGTTTAAACGCCCAAAACGTCCTGTTTCTCATACCTTTTGAACTGCTGCTCCAACGTTTAAACCGTTTAAACGTTGAAACTGTTTAAAACAAAGTCCGTGCCATGGGGTCTAAGAGTTAGATCCGTTTCATTGTGCGTAATCCTTTCATGTGCCTATGCTTCAGCAAGGTTGACGGTAAAGTGAGTGTATGGTACAGCTCAGAGTAGAGATGTTTAAGCATGTGTGCGTTTAAACATGTGTTTGTTTAAGCCGTCTAGCATTTGAAAAGCATTTAAACACTTTGAACAGTCTAGACAACTTCTGCTGCGGGGCCCGTTTGTTTAAACATCCCGGCGTTTAAACAGTAAATGTTAAAACAGTTTAAACACAACCCCCTGCCCAACCCTGCTGAAACCCATTTGGGTCTTTTGAGTCCTGGATTTGCTCATTTCTGTGAGGATGGTCGTCTGCCTGGATGGCACGATGCTGATGGCAAGGCCAAAGGTGGAATGTGGGACTATACCGGCTGGTCGCTCTTGAAGCTTCTCGCAAAGGTCGCTTAAAAGAGCTTCTCGCAAAGAGCTGTGTTTGCTGCCTTCGCTAAGGAACACCCACTTGACCTTCAAGCAGATGCCATCACCGAAGCTAGGTTCTACCGCTTTCGCTGTTGGAAGCAGGAGTGCTCTTTGCAAACATGCAGCAGACAATCTCGGTCCAAAGCTCAGGAGCAAGAGAGCCCGGGTGGGACAGACCATGTGGATGGGAGGTGGGGGCGGTTGTTTCTGGGTGGTGGACAAGGGCAACAAGACCTGCGCAATCTCCTTTTCGCAGAGCTTCGGTGGGCGTGCGCAGACTGATGCAGCCAAGGACGTTGCCAGCGGGTTTGATCGCACACACGGAGCGGTGGGGAGCGTGGATTGTCATGTCCGTGCCTCCAGGACGCAGCAGTCTTTTTGGAGGCTGCGCTGCATCCATGAAAGGCCAGTTCTGTGCTGGGATTTGGGCCGCAGGATGCTTGCAGTACCCTTGCATGTTTCGGAGGATTGCAAAGGGCACTCGTTCATGGCAGCGTCTTAGTGAGAACAGATTTGTCATCGCGAATGCAATGTCGTGATGACCGAAGATGAGGTGATAGTAGAGAGTGCAAGCGAGGTTGCATCACGCATCATGCGTCATCAAGCCGGAGCTTAGAGAAAATAGTTTGGGATGGAGTTTCCCACGATTGGTGGGCACAATCACTCCTCTCGTCATCGATTCAATCGCGTTGGGCGAGACCGAGTGCTTGACAACCGTTGGATGACAACCGGTCGCGGGCGTTACTAGTGCAGGTCAGCATGATGCCCCCGATGGCCAGAGCTACTCCAAGCCTACGGATAGTGGTACAATCTGGACGTAGACATCCGAATCCATTTGGGATATTCGTCAATTTCGCCAACTAGAGCGGGCTTGGTTGGTGCCAGGAGCATTCGCGCGCTGACTGCGAGCAGTCAGCAAACGGCAGCGAAGGACCTTATGTTTCAGCATCTTGCAGCTGCTCGATCATGCAAAGGCGTGAGATTTCGAGGCAGTGCACGATGTTGTGTGGCCGAGTGCCCTTTCGTCCTGGCCTGCGCAAGTCGAGGGGTTGCCGACAGGCGCAAAAATCGTGTCCGGTGATCTCTAACTCGAACCTGAGCATCAACCGGCCCACCTTGGATGCTAGTACATGTCTCCTTTCCTCGGCAAAGCTTCAACAGAGTCACTCCTTGGGGGTGGGTTCAATGCCATCGTCACGTAGCTCCCACCGCGTCCCAGATGACTTGCACGGATTCGTGAATTTGCCATGTTCAACTTGCAGCACTGGGCCGGCCAGTTAGAAACACAGGTCATCTCAGCTCTTCAGAGAAACAGTCGACTCTTTTCCCCGACAGATCCAGTTTCCCATCATCCATCGGACTCATAGCAGTAGCATTGGGGTACCACCCAGCAAACCGAAGACTCCTGCGTGTGCCGCGCTCGGTGTGCCCAACGGCGAGGCGATGGCTTTCACTGCTCTTTGCTGTCGCTGTTTGCTGCACTGACGGTAAGTGTTGCTCACTGTATGCCTTGCAGCAATCGTAAGGCGATCTCAGTTTCCAAGTTCCGGTTGAAAGAGAGAAAGGGTCTGCAGTCTGCTGTCTCTCCTTCGGCAGGCCCCTGCAATGCAGGCGATGCAGGCTCTGGCCTGGGGCCATGCCCAAACAGCTTGAAACGCGGTTTGCTGATACTGAAAGGCTCCACCGTCCGACAACCTCTACATTGCTGACCTTCCGCCGGGCTTCACTGTGCGGCTCCTGGGTCTTGTCTCCAGCATTTGTCGGGGGTTCATCGTTTGAAAGGGCTACTGTCCGGGGTGGGCTTGTCAAGACATGCTTTGTATGGCGCGTTGGAGAAGAGTCTGTGCGCAGATGTCTGTATGCCACTCTCCTCCCGGTAATGCGGCCTCGGTGCCAGTTGAGCACATCTTCAAGTCCGGCTGCTTGTCAGTACAGGCGGAAAGCCTCCAAGCCATCTTCCAAGAGTGCGCGGCCTTGAAGGGAAGTGTACTGAGAATTGAAAAAGCAGGTTCGCGTCTTGCAGCTTCGGGCATATCTGCGGTCTGGACTTTCGAGGTACGGGAACATCTCCCAGTTCAAGCTCCTGCAGAACTCCGGCCCGGGCGGAAAGGCGGCAACTCGCAGCTCTCGCTGCGACACCAAAGTGAAGTCTCCCTGGTGAAATGGGTTGAGAGTGCTGACAGACCGCGGCTCTCGTGAGATTTCAGTCCGTCGAAGAGGCCACGTGCCCAGGCCGCAAGCTGAGCAGTTCACTCGGTCGGAGCCTTCTGACAGGCAACCTGGCTGGTGGAGAACTTGAATCACAACATTCCGCAAGGGCTGAGCTCTCCTGTTATCGTGAAGTGACCTACCTCCGTTCTCATCCGTGCGATTCCGACGTTCGAAGATCGGGCATCTGTTCGTCAGGTATGCCGACACGTGCGGGGCATAGGGAGGGCCTCTGGCTAGTGAGTTTACCATCTCGGGAGGAGCATACTTTGTGAGTCGTAAGCTTCATGGCATGACCGAGCAGTGCAGGCAGCTCCAGCCTTCAAAAGTGACACGTCACGTGTGCAACAGCCGGCACTGGCCACTGGCTTAGGCCGGAGATGAAAGCGGCCAAGCAGGGAGGCTTTGCGATGGCGACTCGGCCCCGAAACAAGCAGTGGAACAAGGCTAGATCAAGAGAGGAGCGCCTCTGTATTCTTCCCCCCACTGCTTAGGCCACGTCTTACGGGAGCATGAAAGGCATGGGAAAGGCCGAAGGACGGCCTGCAGCTTTGAGTGTGTCATGCGCGATGACACGGCACTTCGTCAGGAAACGGAAAAGGTGCCGCTCGGGTGTCGCCGTATCCGTCCTATGGCAAAGGCCGTTCCGGGTGAGAAGTGACAAAGAGCCGAAATCGACTTTTGGGCGCGCAGGCCAGTCATGGAATTCCTGGGAGCCGGCCCCGATGAAAGGCCCAAGCCAGTTGATTTCTGCCGAACCGAACCTCTCTCCTGCTCGTGCATGCTACGCAGGATTCAAAGGCGGAATGGAGTCCGGGCCCCAGACGAAGCACAAGCACATGCAACGACAGTTTGAGGACATGGTCACTCTCACCGAGGAAGGGCAAGGGAAAAGGAAAGGGGTGCCCCATCAAGGCAGGCCTCGGCGAGTCCAAGAACACTCGAAAGAGTAATTTGAAGTGCAGTCAATGTGAAACATCGGTCGCCACATCATGCTCTTTGCAGTTCGGGTTTGGTGCGTAGCTGAGACATCGAGAGCAGTGTTCGCTTGCAAAGCTGCCGAAATCGTCCTCAGCAGACTTACAACCACGATCGTACTCCACATGCGAGAGCTCCTGACAAGCACACGCAGCCATTGCAGACCCTGCACAATGGGCTGCTGGAGGCACAGGCAAGCTGCTTCAGCGCTGTTCCCTGCCTTTAGGAGCTGCAGGATCAGGTGTCCAGTATCTCGTGTCGGCGTTGCATGTCCCGCTGTCGCTTTCCAGCGGCTTTGTGTGTTCGGTGTCAATGGCAGCTGGCACTGCCGCCCAGGAAGCACTCGGGCAGTAAGTAGCAATGGCACAGATCGACATTGGTCCTGTTATGTCCTGTTGCAAACAGATCTGATCTTTAGACATCGCTACTTTCCATCAGATCGTGGGTTCAAGGATATCGTCCGTCTGTTGTTCCTGGGATTCTTCCGCCCTAGACTGGAGCAGAGAGGCCGCTGGCAACATCTCGACACGCTTCAGGTTCTGTGCCTTTGAGGATTCGAAGCCAAGGGTTGCATGATGACTTATAATTCGGTCATGGTGGTGGTGATGCTCATGATGACGACGAGGATGCTGCTTATGATGATGATTATGATGATGACGACGAAGAGGAACAATAGTAATACGATAATGAGCACGACGGTGCTGATTACGGATGACCTCGACGGGTTGTAACATGTGAGGCGTTGCCTGGCTGCGGCGAGATTGACAATGACCGCAATGCGCTGTATGTGACATGGCCTGACAATTGGGGTTCAGGAAGTAAGGCGTTTGACATCTTTTACTTTCTGGGTCGAAGGTCTATAAGTCGAAAAGGGTGCTACAGGCCGTGCATGGTGCCGAACGTGCAGTTCGGAGCTGAAAGTAGGTGTGGCCTGGCAAGTGAAGTGGATTCTGGGATTGCCCTACCTACCAAGATCAGCGGGCTCCCGAACGACACCGAGGAGATGTTGTTGCAGCTCCACAGTGTTTTGGCTCCAGCCCTCTCGTCATTTCGAATCAGGTGGTAATGGGGACTGAAAAAGAGTATCCGCATCCGGCAGGAAATTTCCTGTGTTTCTCAAATTTCAGCACCGCCTTCGTCTCTTCCGTATAAGGCGGCCAGCAATAGTTGGGACAGTGAGAGATTGCAGAATGCAGGATATCGACCTGTACCGAATCTTCGCAACCTTTGGCGCCATTGCTCCGAGGGCCAGGGGCCCAGTCATGGGCTAGCGAGGCACAAAGGGAGAGAGCCTTCACGCCTTCGCTTCTTGTAATTACAGAAGCACCCTTGCCATGGCTTCTGTAATTGGGCTCTCGCTGTTCATATTCAGGATGCTATCCGACTCGGATCGACTCGGGATTTTGGAGATTCATGAGTCAAGATGCTTCAAGTTGCGCTCGGTTTCCGCTGGATGACGACAACGCCAGACGAAGCAGGTCGTGAGCTCATGTGCAACAAACAGGAGAAACTCTGAAACGCCTGCATGTCTTTCCAGGAGAGAACTTGTCTTGTAGACATTGTCGTTTGGAGTCACTTCCTGAGCCGTATGTCGATCAGGGCTGGTGCTGCAGTGCGACATGCTTTTCAAGCATCGCACGGCTTAGTGGCCTCAGCTGTCGAAACCAGTTGAAGCAAAGGCTTGAACATGGCCTCCACCATGATTTGAATAGGAGTGGAGACATGTACACTGTGCATTGCTAGGGGCCCTCGTCTATGCCAAATTGCACTGCCTGATGCATCCTCACAGCAGACGAATCCAGAATGCAAGAACACTTGGCTACTTTCCGTGTCACTGTACCCAGGGCGTGCGAGCAATGCGGCATCCGGATGGCACATGCCAAGGTTTTGGGCTGCAGTCTCAGCTATGTCGGATCCAGAATCGTGCAGTTGTCCATTGCTGGTTGGGCGTTCGGAGGTCCAAGCTTAGTTTAGCTTTCTGGCTCCAGCGCCTTCCGGCGACTTCCTGTCTGCGAGGTTCGTCAACTATTTGGAGTCTGGCTCTGTGCAACTGGCTGCAGCCACGCTTCACGGGTGGGGCCTCCAAGCTGTGGTCGAATTCTTGACGCTGGGTGGTGATATCAGTCATATCGGGTTTTCTGCCGTGGATTGGTGTAGCACGGTGTGCCAGTAGCATGGCTTGTTCGCTTGAGCACTTCAGTTCACGCCTGTGTAGAAAAAAGTTCATGGCGCACGGAAAGGAATGTAACCGGGCTTGAAGTGACACAACAACGTCACACGCCGTCTTTCCTACGAGTTCTTGCGCGCATGTGCAGAAATGATGCAGAGAATGGACGGCAGCAGAAGAGACCGCCTGCAGACTGCTTTCAGCTCATCCAGCCGACCATCGTTTCTTTGTTTTGACAAGTGAGGGCACAGCGCAGGGTAACCAGGGCTCAGTGCACTGGTGTGCTTTGGTTGTTTTTGCGGTGATTCTCCCCTCTTGGACAGGACACAGATGCCTGGTGGGGCAGAGCTTATCGTGAAGCCGAAGGACGGGTTGATATGGTCTTGGGATAGCAGTGCCAAGCTGATGCCCAAAGTCATTGTCGAGCTTTGGCAGTCTTAAAAAAAGGCAATGCTCCGCAAGATCCGCACCTGTGAAGGAGCCCGGGAAAAAGAAGCAACAGCAGAACGGACTGGAAGGTGCCCGGTGGGATTCAGCCTGCTTCGGGAGGGTTGTCGGCATTGAATTTGCGCTGTGGAATTTCGGCCATCTCTCTTCCGCCATGAAGTGACAGCGCCTTGACCAGCAACACCAGGAACTCCGGTGGCTGCGCAAGGCTCCTGGGATGAAGCTGGCACTGTGAGATTCTTGCCACCCAAGCCCGCAAGCGGAGATTCACACATGGTCAGTGTTGACTTGAAGCTGGTTCTTGCCTGATTTCGATCCTTGACTTGTCGTTGCTGAACACATGACATGTTTCGGCAGGATGATGGCAATGAGGCTGATGCGTGTTTCGCCTCCAATGTTTTGAGCTGGGTAGTATGAGGCTGGCGGCCTGAAGACAGGAGTCTACGTCGAGGGGTGGAATCTTGCTCGCGCGGACTCATCCCCACCAGCCATTCCACTGCCCCTTCTAAGTGAAGCCAATCCAAAGGGTGCGAGATCTGCCTCACGGCAAGTTGAAAGGGCTGCCTCGCTGGATAGCGCGGAATACGGCTGGAAAGTCTTGGCACTTTCCTATGCGCATGCAGAACGCGATGCCTCCGAAAAAAAGACTCAATGAAGTATCCACGTACAAGGTACAAAGAGACATACGTGTCTTGTGCAATTTTATCTGTCTTGGAGTGGCAGTGGAAGGCTTCGTGCAATAGCTGCACCAAACTTCTTGCAACGCTTCCACGCAGAACCCAAGGAGTTTCCGAGGCCGCACATGCCGCCGTGGACCATCGTGTGTTCAGTCAAACAATGTGTTCCTGAGCTGTTGAATTTTCGGCTCTAGATGATAGACTTTCCTTACGGACCAGTACTGTGGCAGTTTGACGGCAAGAGAAGCATTTTTATCAAGCTCGACCATGAGGGATGTTTCTCGTGCTACTGGACAGTGACACACTTGAGACAAAAACTCTGTCTCAAGCTTTCAGAGAGCCCAATCACTTGAACTTACAGCCTCAAGCGAAAACACTGGAGCTCAGAAGCCTGGAAGCTATTGGAAGCCATGGACCTCGTGGCATCCTTCTTTCGTACAGGCAGTTCGGTGAGTTGCAGTGATTACATGGAGCACGGGAGGCGAGGGGTTCCTTCTAAAGCAATGAAGGATGAACAGTTGAAGTAAGCACGGTAACGACTGCACAGACACCGAAACACGCAACGCAAGCGCATCGGTGTGTGTGTGTGTGTGCGCACACACACACATGCACACACATGTACGTACATATATAGACTAGTTATATACTTATTTTCTAGTTTGTGCATGTATGTATGTATGTATGTATGCATGCATGCATGCATGGATGTATGTATGTATGTATGTATGTATGTATGTATGTATGTATGTATGTATGTATACACATACATGCACATCACGCATATGCATGAACAAACAAGATGGGCGGGTGACGGGTAGCTGCGAGAATGGCAAGGCCTGACAAGCAGGTTGGGAATGGATAACCTGAAGTCCGTCACCCTTGATTCAACACTTTGCCAGAAGTGCCCCAACGCATCCGTGTAAGACCGAGCCCGGGCCCTGCAAGCTTGCAAGCCGCTGCAAGCCTGTCCAGTGTTCTGGTTGAGTTTCGCAGACTGGACACCTGCGCAGGTGTGGCCTCCGCTCGAGGTCTTCGACGTTCCCTGCGTCGAGGTCCCTTCTGCTGGGAAGAGTTTTACGCCGGCCACCTTCTGCAAGGATGAGTAGAACCGATTGTCAACTAGAGCAGGCTTCCTTTGCAGTGTCTATGTGGTCAAGGCTGGGTGCGGGATCTGAAGACGCTAAACATTTGTCGGACATGCGTTCCTGCTGCAGGAGCGATGTCTCGGCTTTTACGATGGTCTGGCAGCGTGCCTAGCCATTCAAGCCTGGTGAGCATGTTTTCAGACTGCCAAATTGTGGCTTTGCCTTGCAGTCTTCGGCAGTTATATATGACATACCATGCTCCAGCAGAAGGCACCCGAGTGATTTGGCACGAGTGTGCCTAGCCTAAAGAGTGTGTGCTCCACAGACATGCCCTCGAAGCACCACCACGAGGCTGACACCTTGAACTGCCACAAGCGGCGCCAGCTGCAGTGGCGGCGCGCAGCTACCTGAGCAAAGGCAGACGAGTGCCTTCCCCCTCCCCCCGATCTTTCCTTGACATGTGCATTAAGGAATGCTGCGTGGCCAGCTTTCGTGTGGGCCTGAGCCAGAGGTTCTTGTGAGTGATTGCCGTAACGGGAACAGGTTGTCCGTAACGGGAACCCGTAACAGGAACCATCAGGGATTCCGTACAGAAACCACGGGTTCTCGTAACAGCCCCGGCTAACCGGAACCACCGGGGAGCTGCCACACTGACTCTTGTCGCCTCCGCCTTCTCTTCTTGGCTTACGAGAGAGAGACCGCTTTTCCGGTCCCCCTCTTAGACGTCTTCAACATGCCATTTCATGTAGCACTACAGGAACCTTGGTCTCGACTTTCCGATGCGTACAGCTGAACAATAAGGGAAAGGTTTGCTGCAATCATAGGTCGCCTCGTTGCTTCGGTGGTCCTAGTTGCGCCCCTGGTGCGATGTCTTGGTCGAGCACCGTAAACCCCGCCCCAAAGCCCGACATGCTCAATGCTAAGCCTCTATACTGCGATTTCTGGTTGTCGAAAGGCTTGACCCGCAAGCCTAAAACTTCAGGGTTCAGAGGTTAGGGGTGATATCTTTGTCCGCTTCATCCCATAACCCTTAACCCTAAACCCTCAACCCTTCGCAATCATGATCGGGCTTTTGTGGGCTTGTGGTCGGAGAGTCTCGGGGTTGTCCCGTCTGGTACTGCCACTGCTACTGCTACTGCTCGTGTTACTGCTAGTGTTGCTCCTACTACTGCTGCTGCTGCTGCTGCTGCTGCTGCTGCTGCTGCTGCTGCTGCTGCTGCTGCTGCTGCTGTGGTGCAAGTGCTACTGCTCTTGCTACCGCTATTGCTACTGCCATTCCTACTGCTACTGAACGAAACATAGCCGTCAGTGAAAGGCTGATAATGGTTTCAAAGAGGAGGACCGAAAAACCGGTCCCCCTGACAAGTCTTCCTCCAAGACTTCCAGCCTGGTTTCGGTTACCGGGTTTCCCGGGACAGTTCCTGTTACAGTGCCGAGGCGGTTCCTGTTTCTACTGTCCGCCGTTCCGTTACTCCCAAACCGGGTTCCTGTTACTTCCCGCACCCGTATCCTGTGGTTATTTCCAGCCATCAGATTTTTGTTTCGCAGCCGCTTGGAACATATGGAACTAACGAACCAGTATGAGGTGGGAGAGTCTTAAGTAGGCTGACGTCAACGTAGTCCGGGTTTCAAGTCCCCCGCTCTGTGTCAGATATTGTATTGTGTTCAGGCAGGAAGTTTGTTTCTGCATCAGGCACGAACTCCGGAGCGCTTGCCACAGCGAGGCCCACTGCTTACCTAGGCTGGTCCTGCTTTTTGTCTTGAAGCCTTCGCCTGAGGACTACCAAGCCGATGGTCTACGATTTCACTGAGTTCCAGCACGGTGAGCCGTCTGACAGCTTTCCAGAAGCAGATTGACCAACATTTTTATGTCCGTCCCGGGCGTGATAGAACCCACGGCACGCGCACGTGTCGAAGGACCAATCTGCTTCGAGAGATCCCCTCAAGCTCTAGAGCAAGCGGTTCAACGCAGAAGCGGCCAATGAGCCTGCAACACTGGCATCGAGAGACTCTGCCGTGCTGCGCTGAAGCGAAGCGAGAGACTCCACCGTCTCCCAAGTCGCAGTACTTCTCAGATGCCTCCGATGGTGCTCGGATTTCTCCCGGGACTCCGTGGCCTTGTCGGCTCCAGAGTCCAAACGGGGCCCAGCCCAGCCCAGCCCTGCGCTGAAGCGCCGAAGGTCGGAGCCTTTACTCCTTTCGCCTTTCTTGGCTTTTGCTTGGCATTGCTTGCGCTTCTCTCAGGATGAAGCCCCGAGCCCTGCTCGCAGTGGCAGTCCTGGCGGTCCTGGCATGGGACCCGGCCAAGCGGCAGGAGCATTGCCATACTGGGTACATTGTGGCGTAGACGCTAACCGCATGGTAAGATCCTGGCTTTGTTTCGCTCTTGAGCCGAGGCCTTGAGATGGAATTCCTGGAGCTTCTTAGGCTCTTCAGGCCCTGCGCCCGCTCGGGTTGGCATTTTCTTGGGCACTTGCGAAATTGATGCGGACCTTGATCACAGGTTCTGGCTCCAGATCACCTCGGCGCTGCTGGGCTGCAAACCCGTTGTGGAGGTGCAGCAGATGGCAGCCTTGGCAAGCCCAAGCAGCCCAAACACAAAGGCACCGCTCAGAATTTCATCAAAGTCTTCAATGCCACCTCCCGGCAAGCTCCGAGGTGCGCTCTCCAAGCTGCCGCGACGTGCCGCGGAGGATCAGCTTCCGGAGGCCCTCTGAAAGGTTGGAGTTGGACCCGCTCGCGGAGCTACGGAAGCGGGAGCCGAAGCTCGTAACCAAGGCACCGCCCGGCGGCCGGGTCATTCACGTCGAGTATTGCTGCGGCCTCTGCTAGACCGTAGACACGGATACATACGGTTTGGGAATCTGATTGCTAGCAGCTGCTGTGACATGCAGAGTCTTCGTTGTCGACAGCCTGTGAATCGTGATGACATCTGCTGCATAGCAGATAACTTTCACTTTGCATGACCTTTGTACTTTATTGCGTGGCGGGGCAAAACTGGGGTCAGCTGCCAGCGCATGCTTTCGCAGCGCAATCCCATGCGTTACCGGTTTCTTATCGTCTTTATCAGCGTTCTGCTCGGCCTCCCGTACTGCCACCGGCTCCTGTGCCGGCCCAGGCAACGACTGCAAGTTCCTTCCGCGCTATCTCAAGCTGAGGAAGGCTCAAGATCACAGACCGTTGGAGTGAGCTGTTGGTTGGCTAGGGCGGTTCACAGTTTCGGTGCCGTAAGTGCAGGAAAGGTGGAAAACGAGTGTCTTTGGAGGCAATGGCAGACCGCTTTGGTGAGCGGGTCCTCTGCTTTGGCAACCACGAGGAACTCGCAAAGCTGGCCCAAGCCAAGTGTTGGGAATTTGCTTTCTGCATGTTCGAAAGGAGACCTTGCAGGAGCTCTGCAGGACTCCCAAACCGCGCTTGAAGCTGAGTACCGCCGCGCGCAATAACCGAAGTTCTTCGAACGACAGTACCGGCATCGCAGATGGATGCTATCCGTCGTAAATCAGAGCTCAGGCGCCGGCTCCTTTGAAGTGGTCGATATGCAGTCGAAGAAGTACCCTCGGCGAAGTTTTTCCTGCTTGGCTTGTGCTTTAGGCGTCGAACCGGTTGAAGCAGAAAATTACACATGTTTGAGGGCCCACATCAGCTTGGGAAACAAGTAGGCAGTAGACTCTGTACCGGTGTTGGAGCTCTTGCTCTCAGTTCCGGCCTGCAGGTCTACAGCCCTCAGTTCATGAAGGCCATCTTAATCTGGTGCCGAATGGGTCTCTTTCGTCCAGGTGCCTCTACACAAAGCTCGGCAGCCTGAGCCTGAGAGCTGGTTTAGTCCCAGTGGAACGGGGTGGGAAGCAAGTGTACTCCCGATCTATCAGGTGCAGGCGCTATCACAGTAGCCAGGAGATGGTTGTTTGAGCTCCAGTCTGCCCCATCGAGGTGGGCTCCACGTCACCGAGAGGCACCAGTAATTCGCCGCGAGACCGTGGTAGAAGCGCAGGGAGGAACAATGTGCTTTCTTAACGCTCACTGACTGATGACAAAGAACTACAGACCACACATGGGGAGAACGACGCTAGATGGCTCCTTTGGGCTCGCAGGCAAGAGTGGATGGACCAGCTCTTCGATGAGATTGAAGCCCTTTGCGAGGCTGAAACAGCTTGTTTCAGCGTTCGTAAAAAGGGACACTGCCCAGCAAGTCAAAGCCAGGCCGGCTGAAGACTTGGAAGCAGGCCTTGGAACAAGCCGCAATCCGGGGATGCTCGGCTTGTGAAGGATGCTTCTGGGATCTCAAAGGCCCATCATAGGCGCCGTGTGGCAGTGGAATTGACTCTTAGATTCGTATACGCTGGTGATTTGTGTTGATCGACTTCGGGACGCAACCTCTGTGTGTGTGATGCACTCTGTCTGCGCAGTGCGATGTGAACAGAGTCCGTCGCAAACTGTGAGAATTTCTCTCATTCTCTACACTCCGGAATCACCGTCTGCAGATCTTCCTAGACGTTTTCGGGAATGTTTATCCTGCAATGCGATGCTTGGTTTCTCGATGAGCAGAGTGCAGTCGATTGGATGAAACGGACAGGGCATCAGAGCAGAGTTGAGATCAGGCGTGAGCCTGTGCAGGCGGAGCCCAGTGAGAGCATCCGCCTTCGCGTTAATGTTCGGACGCGAGGATCCTGGCCACTGCATCTCGCAGCGATCCACAAGAGGTTTCAGCTTAGAGGACTTCCTCGCATCCGCTGCTAACGTCAGCAGGAAACACGGCAGGACATCCGCCTATATAGCTAGCAGGAGGGGCACAGCAGCTTCGCGCCTGCTTTTGCTGCCGCTCTTGGATACCCTGTCGTGTCTGCACAGGCATGTTTCGGTGACGCATAGGCAAACGAACTCCATCCGCATGCATCCGTTCCCTTTGATGCCCTGTTGCTCTTGGACTTCAGGCGAAGTATGCATGCTGCATGTACGATTTTGCAAAGGTTCCTCCAGACCGTGCCGCACATTCAACCGCAGGAATGCCTTCCCTGTGTTTCGGCTCTGCAGATACACTGCAGACTTGAACCCTCCCTATGCATTCAGCCGACAGCCCCATTCAGAAACAGCACACTTCAGTGCATCGCGACTGAACGTCAGAATTCTGTGACTCAGGTTGTTTGATTTTCTCTTCCCCAAGCAGTTCAACCCCATCAACTCAGTCCACAAGCCTGCGGCAGCCTACATCTAAGTCTCGTCCAAGCCAAGGGATACGCTGCCCAGTTAAGCGTTGTAACCCCGATTGCCTTCCCGGGCCCAGCATGGACGAGACAATCACCGAGGCAGCTACAGTCAAGGCGCAGTTGCTGTTTCCAACATCATGCTACAGAACGTTCAGTTGGGGATGGAAGCTGTGGTTTTATCTTGTCGCAGTGGATCATCTTTCGGAGTCTTTGCCTTCTTCCTTCAACATTCGAAGGCACTTTTCTCAAGCCGCTGCCTAGGTGAGCATCAAGGATGGCAAGATGCGAGAGCTCAAGGCACTGATGTTTCGCTGCGGAGGATGTCGTGAGCCGATGTGCCGTGTGCCTTGTGATTGTCAGAGGCGGCGATGGTTGCACGCAGCTGTGAGGCATGTTGGGGCCCAGTTTCGTCCACATTCCTACTGACCTTTGCATTCTCTTTAATCAGCAAAAAGACGCAAGGGAAGCTCGATTGAGCACGGTGAAAGGACGTGGTATCACGTCCCGCTGTTTCAGGACATGGAGCCTCTGCGCATGGCCATCGAGCGTGGCCGGGAGGTGAGCGATTGAGAGTTGAATAGAGGTGAAGGCTCATGGACCCGCAGGAGGAACGATCGTCGTGTCTTTTTTAGGCCTTCATGGCCAGCATGGCAGACCCCGATAACGTGAATATAACATGTTAGTCACAAGATTTGCTTCCTGTCAGGCGGGGCTCGAGCGTTCGGAGATTGACAATGCGGTGCGGATCCTGCACGACTTGGAGGCGCGACCATGGGTAGCAGTGACTCATATCGCGGGGTGCGAGGGGGCCTTCACCGCAACCACACCTGCATGGGACATAAGCAGAACCTTCGCTGCTGGCAGTTGCGCACCCAAGCCGTCGCTTTCACGGATGTCCCGCGGTCTGACATTCTCAAGCTGCAGGCCGTGCTTGGCATACCTTGGCATGAATGTGATGATCAGGATTCAAGTTGATAGTGCACGCGTGATTCCTAAGTCTGTCTTTTTCATAAATGCTGCACTTAGCGCATGCAGTTGCGAGCAAATTACACTCCGAGCTGTTTTGATCGATGATCTGTCGCACTCGTACTTCGATTACCGGGGATCGTGCTAAGTGGGCTGTAAGACAGAAGTTGACCGAAGTGGCGTCTTCAACGAGGATCAGGATTAGTGTAAGCTACCTTGAAGCTGCCCTTTCTGGGGGCAGCAGCAAGCCGGCATGAAGTGTAGGACCTGTGGGCAGGGTTCTGCCACAGAGCTCTAGAGCGGTGGCTTTGGCTGGAGGCCTGCAGTTCTCGGGATGAGATCGTAGAGTCCTTGAAGACTCTGATGAAGCTGAAGGACAAGGCAGAGAAGGGCAAACACAAACGGGTGGGCAGCGAAGCTCCGACGAGCCGGCCTTTGGCGCAGGATGGCTTCAGAGCCGAAGTCCTCGCCGAGTTTCATTTCCAGAACTTCGTGTCGGGTCCCGAGCGAGCTGTGCTCTTCAGTTCTGCCCTCACGAGATTCGGGCTCCGACTGCGGCGCGGTCTCCTGGCAGAGCCTGAGGTTCTGTCAAAAACAAGGCTACGGACCTGAGAAGGTGCGGCCGTGGGGCTTGTGGGCTCTCCAAACCGAGGGCAGTGCGTCTCCAGTCCAGGCCTCTGCTTTGCTCTCCATGATGCGCGTCCTCCACTCGCAGACCGCGCGGGCCTTAGCTTTGGCAGCGGCCGAGCCTCGGCTCCGCGGTCCAACAGCACATTGGGAAACTGGGGGCAATCGGCGCTGCTTTGATCAGGTCGTCGGGAACAAGGACATCGAGGAGGCCGGGTGATGGAGTCAGCCAGCGACAGATCGACAACTTTCTCTCATGAGTACGCAAGCACGAGCTGTGAGGCAAAATCCTTGCTGGAAGATCTCCTTGCCAGGCGGAGCGCCCACATTTTGAGAGCTCGTTGCGGCATGCTCCGATATTGTCCTCCGGCCAGGCATAGCCGCCAGCTACCGCCGTTCAGTTTCTTCCTCAGGGTCTTAAGCGGACACCCTGATCGGTCTCTTATGCTTGAGAAGCGCGGCTCTCTGTAGGCGTGGGCATCTTCTCCCAGGCGGAGGTGGCATCGGTTCCCGGGCAGAAACTGCGGAAGTCTGCTGCCTCGGAGCTTCAGAAGCCGGTGAGTGCACACGGAACTGAGATTCGCGACTACGCGACGAGGACGGGATCAAGCTTCCTAGCCTCGAGTTGGAGCGCCGAGTCGATAGAAGACATCTGCGATACTTCGCGAAAATTCCCTATTCCCGACTTCACTCTTGATTGTCCTCCTGGCGCCCTGATGACCTTGCAGGACACTTCTTCGACACTTCAAGATGTTTCAGTTCATTTACCAGCAGTGCAAGGCCGGAGCTCGAAGAAAGGCGGGCCCGCGGCGCCGCGGGCGTGGCGTGTGTGGCGTGTTGTTGCCAGGACCTGCGCATTCGAACGATCGAAAGCAGGGTGACGGCACGGGCAGTGGCCTTGGAGAGCCTAGCCCGCTAGGCCCGCTATCCGACGGAGCGAAGCTCGCTCTCAGGTTCCGAGCCCTGCGCCACTCCACACCGACTTCGAGCTCAATCCGCACGAGGCAGTCGTTCTCGTGCTCTGGCGCCTCTTGCGAAATCGATGAGAGGTGCCGCAGCTCCAGGAGCTCCTACGCTCCGAGGCCCACGCATCGACACACTGAACTGCAGCCAGAAATTCTGAAGATGCCACGTTGCTTCAGCAAACACGGTAAGTGCGTCGCCTCAGTGGCTCGAGGTCGGTGAGGTTGCAGCAGCTTTCACCATTCCGGGGTTTGCTTCATTGCCATGGTCTGTCGGCTCCTACTTTGGTGCTTGGCCACCTGGCTTACTTTCTCCCTGGGCAATGTGCAAGGAGATGAGCCCGACTCTGACGACAGAGGTTTTTGTGCCAAGAATGCATCCGTGGATTGCCCCGAGGACGGGGCGCTGATGCAGTTAGCTGCAGACGTGCAACCATCATCCCAGCCAGAACCGAGCAAGCAAGATACAGAGGCTCCATGCCCGACGGGTGGCATGCAGCTCCATGACGGTGCTGTAGTGGTGGCATCCTGTCTGATTGAAGGGACGAAACCACTCAAAGCTCCAATCCTTAGCTTTGACCAAGTGATTCAAGACGCAAAAGCAGATGCAAATCCTTACAAATCTTTCTGTGGTAACTTGGAAGACTCCGTTTGCAAAATGGCTTATGACGTGATTGATCACGGCATGGACTTGGCAGTTGGACGTTGGAACCACATTGCCCTCAATTATGGGTCCAATGGCTGGGGCTCTTCCGACATGGACGTTTGTCAACTCCAGACCGACATGGTTACTGCGAAAATTCCGAGCTGTTCGACCTTGGAGAAAATTGGCGGTTGCTCAGCTTGCCAGGAGTGTTGCAAGGAGCACGGAAGATGGAGCTCGTGTTACAAAGCCTTGCGACCCATGTTGGACAGACTTACGGAAACCTACACCCACAGTGTGAAGTACATCTTGTCGGTCTCGGTGCGAACTGTGAATTTCCTGAAGTACATGCAGCGTGTGGCTTTGGACTACAGCGTGGATAGTGCCTATGATCAGGTGGGAGATAGCTAAAACTCGGAAAAAGACCAGGAGTAAGAAATGAGTGAAAGGGCTGATGCAGTTTACTGTGGTCAATCATGCTTCCTTGTTCAATCCAAGGAAACCAACCAAGCTTTTCATGTGACTACCACGCGCATACACGCCTGCCGTTCAGGTGATGTATCAGAGACAGCTGATGGTGAAACCACCACCAGCGAAGCCCAGCTTCTCCGCAGCCATGGGCAGGATTTTTGTGGAGGCCGTGCTCAGCTTCACGCACTCGGCCTCAGCCTCGTTCAATTTTTTCAAGGGGGCATACAAGGGCCAGGCGCTGGATTATTTGGCAGCTCTGATTCGCCTTTGTGAGAAAGTCGTGGGGCCAATTGTCAAAGAAAACTCAGAATTTCGAGGCGCGGGCCACATACATCACAAAGGTGTCTTGTGGGCATAGGGATGGCAGATGATTTTCAGGGAGTCATCTGATGTATTTTTGATATTTGAGATTGTATACCTTGTTCATTACTCGCCTATCGCATGTGACCTTGAATCATATCTTCAGAGATTGCCGGACTGTTACGTCATGGGACATGCAACATCCACAGCTGAAGCCTGGCAGGCGACCTCGGTGGCTGGATAGCTCAGCCCAACAGTCCACTCTTCGAAACCCAAAAAGAGGCGGGCGCAATGAAAAATGCATGAACCAGTTTTTAATTTTGGAATCAGGTTGTAGGTTTGCGAAAAAAAAAGAGTCTTGCAGGTTGGCGATGTCATTCCTTGGTTTTTCCCCACATCATTGTGTGGGGTTCTTACTTTTTGGGGCTGTCCCGCCTCCTCCCTCCTCACACCTCACACCTCACCTCACCTCACACCTCCTCCCTCACCTCCTCCTCCTCACGTCCTCCTCACCTCCTCCTCCTCCCGCTCCTGCTCCTCCCCTCTCCTCCCACACACACCTACACACACACACACACTCCTACACACACACACACACACACACAAAAACACACACAAAAACACACACAAGACACACACACAAAAACACACACAAAAACACACACAAAAACACACACAAAAACACACACAAAAACACACACAAAAACATACA